GAGGATTAGCCTAGTGAGCCACGGTGCCGGCCAAGTACCTCAATCTTAAATGGACAGCTAGATGAAAGTGCACATATGTTCACCCGTGTAGTCACGAGCCAGTCAGGATACAAGACATGTAGAGATGCTTCAGAAAGACCTGGACTGGATGAGCCCAGAGGTCCCCAACACAGAGAAATGCTGGCAGTGGAGGAAATAGAAGTACCTGGATACTCAGACTGGATCAGTGCACACCGTGCACGTGTCCCGAACCCCACACCGTGTCCCCGAAATCTGCACAGCCACTGTGTGGCAATCACAACCTAAAAAGCAGCGCGCCACCCCAGGAGCAGTCCCTGGCACCCGTTTGTCAGAACCCCCCACTAAGAAGCCACTGTTCTGACCGCCGTTCCCCGAGTTACTCGTGCCTGTTCTTGGGCGCTTTGTCGATGGAATCACGCGGTGCTTCTGTGTGGGGAAGTCCATAGCTAATATCTAGTAAATTTTGCCTTTTGTACTAGTGCTTTATACACGGAAATCCACTTTTTAGGAAATTTTGTTTATTTATGTTCATTCTATTTGAAAGGCAGAGAGAGAGAAGCTTGAGAGACAGAGAGATCATCCCTGCGCTGGTTCATTTCTCAAATGCCTATAACAGCCAGCTAGGCCAGGCCAAAGCTAGGAGGCCAAACCCAGCCCAGGGTTCCCACGCGGGTGGCAGGGACCCAAGTGCTTAAGCCGTCTGCTGCCTCTCAGGTGCACACTAGGAGGAAGCTGGGACTGGAAGCAAGAAGCTGGGGCTCAATCAGGCGTTCCAATATGGGAGGCGGGCGTCCCAACCGCTTGCTTGGTTTTTGTTTTTAAACCCTGAGACTAGACTCGAACTCATGTCTGCCTGAATGTGTGCTCCATTAGTGTACTACGTGACCCCCCAGAACCCATCAACTGTGCCTGTGCTAACTTGGCAAAGCACCAAATATCCATCCCTGTCCTAACACTTCCTCTACCACACTGAATTTCTCAGAGGAGCCTGAGAAAGTACTCTCTATTTATTCTTCCCATTTTACAGTGAGGGAACTGAGGCTGAGAGGGGTCCATGACCTGCCCTGGGCCACCGGAAGCTATGCAGCTCCACAGCCGGGTCACAGCCCACTAGACCCCTGCATCCCTCGGGATACCGCAGAGAGGCGGCACTCTCTTCTCGCAACTGCTTGGGTTTGAAGTGACACAGGTCTGGGCTGCACTCTCCTGTACAATATTCGTCCATCCATCCATTCATTCATTGTATTTGAAAGAGAGAGAGAGATGCCTTTCATTCACTGGTTCACTCCCCAGATGCCCCCAACAGCCAGGGCTGGGCCAGGCTGAAGCCAGGAGCCTGGAACTCCATCCAGTCTCCCGCAGGGGTGTCAGGGACTCCAGCACTCGAGCCGTCACCTGCTGCCCCCAGGGTGTGCACTAGTAGAAAGCTGGAATTGGAAGCAGAGCCAAGACTTGAACCCAGGCTCTTTGATATGGTGTGTGGGTGTCCCCAGCCACTTCTTAACCGCTGTATCAAAGACCCGCCCTGGGCTGCACTCTTTTTTCTTTAAGATTTATATATTTATTTTGAAAAAGTTACAGAGAGAGAGAGAGATCTTCCATCATCTGGTTCACTACTCAGATGACCACAACAACCAGGGCTGGGCCAAGCCAAAGCCAGGAACCAGGAGCTTCACCTAGGTCTCCCATGTGGATGGCGGGGGCCCAAGCACTTGGGCCGTCTTCTGCTGCTTTCCCAAGCCATTAGCAGGGAGCTGGATTGGAAGTGGAGCAGCCAGGACTCACCAGCTCCCATCTGGGATGCCAGCATCACAGTGGTGGCTTAATCCACTGCACCACAACACCAGCCCCCGAGCTGCTCTCTTGAGTCTGCCAGCTCCTCTGTGGCCTTAGCCAAGTCACTTAACCTCTCTGAAACTCATTCCTCCACTGGCACATGTCCAGGTGACCTGAATCATCTCTAAGGGCCTTGCAGCTTTCTCCATCTCTCTCCAAGCACCAGGCTCTGGTCCTGCAGTCTCTTCCCAAAAGCAACTTTCTTGGGTAAGAGTCAAAGAGAAGTAGCATGGACTCCAGTTCCCACTGGAACGAGCTGTGTGAACCTGGGCACGTTACTCACCCTCTCTGAGCTTTACTTCCTCACCCATGAGATTGCAGATGACACGGAAATGAAATCACGCACAGAAAGCATCTGGTGCCTGGCGCCTGGTGTGTGCTACCCAAATGTTGGCTACGTGACTATTATTAGCTGCTGCTATTATCGATTGATGACTCTGTGCCAGGCATTGTCTCAAGTGTCTTAAGACGTTCCAACTCATTTAGTCCTCACAAACTTTGCAATGTGGTAGCTCCATTTTATAGATGTGGAAACTGAGGCAGCTGAAGTAACGTGCTTAGGGTCACGCAGCTACTAAGCTATGGATGTGGGCCACAAACCCTGGCTGTCTGGATCTGGAGCCTGCACTGTTCCTCGCCAAGCCACACTGCTTCGAACAGCTCCCACTCTCAAAGATTTTTTTTTTTTTTTGACAGGCAGAGTGGACAGTGAGAGAGAGAGACAGAGAGAAAGGTCTTCCTTTGCCGTTGGTTCACCCTCCAATGGCCACCGCGGCCGGCGCGCTGCGGCCAGCGCACTGCGCTGATCCGATGGCAGGAGCCAGGTGCTTTTCCTGGTCTCCCATGGGGTGCAGGGCCCAAGCACCTGGGCCATCCTCCACTGCACTCCCTGGCCACAGCAGAGAGCTGGCCTGGAAGAGGGGCAACCGGGACAGAATCCGGTGCCCCGACCGGGACTAGAACCCGGTGTGCAGGCGCCGCTAGGCGGAGGATTAGCCTAGTGAGCCGCGGCGCTGGCCCCCACTCTCAAAGATTTGTAGATTTTTCACTTCACTTGCCTAACCCAGCAAGCATTCCACTGGGGTCTGGGCAGGTAAAATCTACAAGCGAGAAAGATGTCCTTACCGGAAGGTGAGATCAACGCTGGAGCCCAATTTTGGACCCTCCCCACCTAGCGTTTCCACTCCACTGGAAACCTGCCGGTGCACCTGGGAACAGCCCTGGCCAGTGGGGGCCACAGGGAGGGTCCTCCAGGTGCAGCGGCTGGGCTGTCGCTGTGTGCCTGCTGCCGGTGTGGTTCGCTGGGTTTCTGCCGATGTGTGGGACAGACATGCTGCCTCTGTCCAGGTGTCTGGGCTGTACCTTCCTCCATGTCTGTCTGTCTGTCCCTGGGAGAGGAGGACACACCTGGCCTCTACCACCCAGGGCATGTGTGATGGCGGGGAAGTGAATCACTTCATTGTGCTACTTCTTCATGCGTATAAAAATGGGGCTGATGATAACAGGGGATTTCTGAAGGCTGAATGAGGTTATCTGTGCCAAGGGCTGCATGGGTCAGATGTAGCCGGGGCACCTGTATTTGCTCATAAGCATTAGGGACGCGCAGGTGGGAGCAGGACGAACTTCTGTGAGCTATGCAAAGGCCCTGGGGGTGCCCTACAGAGAGGATGAGGGGCTGCGGGGATGGGGCCTCTGTGATTTGAGTACGGGCTGATAGGAAGGTGTACACACATGTGTGTGTGTGTGTGTGGTCTGCACAGCAAATGCATGTCCATCCCACATATGTGCCGGATGCTCACCACCAGAACTCCAGCTGCCACACAGACCAGCTCCATGCCCTTGGGCAAGTCATCCAGGCTCAGGCGAGCCTCAGGATCGATCTGCACCGTGGGTAGGACTACCCCCAAAGGGAGCCACGAAGCCCGAGTGAGTCACAGATGTGAAGTCCCGAACCAGCGCGGGAGAGGACTGTGTGAGGGAGCCAGGCATCACTGTTGGCACTCCCAGGTTCCTATGTTCTGGGCTGTTCAAGTGTGCCCCCTCTGGGCTGCAGGGCTTGCCCTGGGGGTGCGAGGACCCCAGCCTGCCTAGACAAGAGCTCTGAGTTCAATTTTTCCAATGGGGCATTGGAGGCCCAGAGAAGGACTGGGTCCTGCCTCAGGACACCCAGCACACTGCAGGCAGAGGTGGGCTAGACTGAGTCAGTGCCTCTTGTCCTCCTGGCGAGGCGGTGATGGGAAAGCCCCGCAGAGGGGAGTGGCCTGCGGCCCCAGCACTTGCAGCTCTGTTTCCCTGCCTCCCCCTTTGGCAGGCAGCAGCGGCCGCCTGGCCGGGGAAGCCACTCCAGCGGGGAAGCTGTGTGCTTTGGCAGCCGCTGCTGTCTGGGCTGCGGAGGTTGAGGCTGGTGGCTACCTGCGGTGGGAATTCCATGTGTCTGGGGGACCCAGCTGGAGTAGGCAGTCCCAGCCCAGTCACATGTTGCCAGCTGGACCAGGGCAGGACTGGGTTCAGCCTGGGCTGGAAGAGGAGGCTGAGGATAGAAATGCTTTCTCGTTGACTGATTGAACGCCTTTCTTGTTGTAATCTGCTTCTCCTATTACAAAAACAATGCTTGCTATTTGTAGAGAATACAAGGAATCAATAAGAAAAACTTTCTTTCATGCAGAAATTCAGCAACTCAGAGACCAGCATACGTGTACCATGTACAGACAGCTGGACACATAGGTGTGGCACAGGAACACACATACATACGTGCATGTCAGTGTCCTTGCACACACATAATACACAAGTGCATACACTCTCGACCAAGTACACATGTGTGCACACAAATGCATACATAGAGCACTTAATGTGTGCCCAAATGGGAACTCATTTACCCCTCACCAAGCTATGAGAGAGCTATGTTACAGACATGGCACAGAACGGTCGAGTAACTCACCGAGAACACCCAGTTAGCGAGGGGCGGGATGGGTTTCTGACCCGGGGGCTAGTTAATTACACTACACGGTGCTGTGTCCGAGGGCAGCACAGCGCCCATTTCCCTCCATGCACCTATATTTGGTTTAATTACATCCTTTTCACCACCTAACAGGGCCCTGGGCTCAGAAGCTCGCACTGCAGACTGGCTGGCCTGACTTCCGGCTTGTTCCTTCCCCTCCCTGGGGCTCAGTTTCTTCATCAGTAAAATGGGGAGCTCTAGTGTCTTGCTTCTGAGAGGTGGCGGAGCTTGTGGGTGTAAAGCACTCAAGCCTGGGCCTGGGACACAGAAGGTGTTCGTTGAATGGGGCTGTATTAACCGCCCTCTTGGAGGCTGGAGAGATTTGGAGCGAAAACAATCAGAAAACACTGGCCAGAGGTAAGATGGCCTTAACAGGTTGGGGTCTGGGAGGATCCCGGCTCCCGGGGGAGGAGGATGGTGACTCCTCCTGCATCCCTGCCCTGGACCTCCCCCAACCCTGACCAGCGGTTCAACCTCAGCCCTGCAGGCTCCAGGTGGAACTTGGAACAGCACAGACAGGAGGGTGGGAGGGAAAAGCCCATAAATCAGCAGGCGGAGTCTGGCCTGGCTGGGAGGGGAGGGGGCTGTGGGGCCGGGGACGTCAGATGCCATCAGCTCCCAGGGGACCATTAAAGTGGCCGGCTGAGCCGTGCTGCCCGGAGGGCCAGAGTGTCTGCAGAGGTCCCCGCCTCCTCTTGCCACCTGCCCTGCTGCCCAGGTCCCCTGCCTCTCTCTGTCAATTTGCTCGCTCGCTCGCTCTGTCTCTCTCCACTTCTCTTGATTCTCCTGTCTTTCCTCCTGTGTTCTGTCTGTCCACTCCCATCTCTCTCTTTGTTTTGGATGTGTTCCTTTTCTCTATATCTCTGAGGCTTTTTTCCTTTTCTCTTTTGAGCGCCTCTCTTTTTCTTTCTCTCAGCTGTCTGGGTCTTTCTGTGTCTCACTCCCAACCCCCAAGTTGCAGCAACTCGGGCATCAGAGAGCCCCGCAGTGTGTCCTGGGGAAGGCCAGACCTGCCCTCTGAGGCCATCGACCGAATTCCCTGCAGCGGCACTGGTGAGGAAGACGTCTGGGCTGGACAGCGCGCTGCAGTCTCCCGGGCGGGTGGGACAGGGCCCTGGCTTTGAAGCCGTGGCCCCAGCTCACCCCAGGACCTAGTCTGGATTAGCCACTGTCTGGGCATTTCTTCCCACTGCCCAACCCACTCAGCACCTTGGGGAGGGAATGAAGGGGTGCTGGGCGTCTGGGCCAGAGCTGGGGAATTCTCAAGACCTGATGCTCTCATGCCTGCCTCTTCCAGGCAGCCAGCTCTGACTGCACTGAGCGGAGTGTGACCCTCTAGCTAGCTATGCCCCTGCTGCCCAGCACCGTGGGTCTGGCCGGCCTGCTCCTCCTCTGGGCATGTCAAACAGTGGACGGCTTGATGATGCCCAATGCCACTCTGGCTCTGGCCAGACCTGAGGACACAGCCATGAGGCCCCCCAGTGGCCTGGGGGTGCCCCGGTACCGACGGAAGCGTCACATCTCCGCCCGGGACATGAATGCCTTATTGGATTATCACAACCACATCCGGGCCAGCGTGCACCCGCCCGCTGCCAACATGGAGTACATGGTGAGTCCCCGTGCCTGCCCCCGTGCCCATTCCAGCAAACACCAGCCCATTTGCCTTGGCCTGGAGTCATGGCCGGTTCTGCAGAGCTGGACCTTTGCCCCTCTGGCCCTGCTAGCCAGTTTCTGGGTGTTTGGGACCTAGGCAAAGGGCAGGAATAAGTCTGCCCATTGTACAGATGAGGAAACTAAGGCAAGTGCCCGGGTCCTCCAGGGAGCCAGGGGCACCCCAGGTGCACACCTCTTCCCTCCAGGTGGCTAGCTCAGCCCTACTTCCCACACAAAGACAGGGAGATGCAGAGAAGGGATTTGTCCAAGGTCCCCCAGGTGTGCCTGCTGCTAAGTTGTGATCATTTTACTTTTTAAAGATTTGTTTGCTTCAAGGGCAAAGTGAGAGGTGTGGTGGGGGAGACGGTGTGGGGGGTTGGAGAGAGAGAGAGAGATTTTCCATCATCTGATTCACTCCCCAAATGCCTGCAAGAGCTGAGCCTGGGGACAGGTTGAAGCCAGGAGCTAGGAACGCCATCTGGGTCTCCCTCACACAGGTGGCAGGGACTCCGTGGCAGCTCGATTGCCTTCCCAGGTGCATTAGCAGGGAGCTGGATCAGAAGTGGAGCCGCTGGAACTCCCATCTGGGATGCCCACCTCCCAAGCAGTGCTTAACCCATCTGCCCTCCACCCCCAGCTTGTGCTTATATTTTTTTTTTTTTTTTTTGACAGGCAGAGTGGACAGTGAGAGAGAGAGAGAGAGAGAGAGAGACAGAGGGAAAGGTCTTCCTTTGCCGTTGGTTCACCCTCCAATGGCCCCCACGGCTGGCACACTGCGGCCGGCGCACCGCGCTGATCCAATGGCAGGAGCCAGGTACTTATCCTGGTCTCCCATGGGGTGCAGGGCCTAAGTACTTTGGGCCATCCTCCACTGCACTCCCGGGCCACAGTAGAGAGCTGGCCTGGAAGAGGGGCAACCGGGACAGAATCCGGTGCCCCGACCGGGACTAGAACCCTGTGTGCTGGCGCTGCAAGGCGGAGGATTAGCCTAGTGAGCCGCGGCGCGCCGGCCCAGCTTGTGCTCTTAAACAGCACAATAGCCCTGCTCAAGAACTCTGGCTGCACAGCGTGGGGCCAAGCTTTAAAACTATTGTGTGATTGACACACCCGGGCTACCCTGTGGGACGAGGGACCAGAGAGGCGGGATCAGGCACCCGGTGACCTCAGGCTGGGGAGGACCAGCAGCTGGACAGCGGGGGCAGCCGAGATGTCTTCTCTACGGAAGCAGGGCTGGTGACTCTCACCCCAGCTGCGGAGAAGCCAGACCGGCTGCATGGAGGAGGCAACCTTGCTCTTAACCCCTGCTCCTCCTTCGGGACTATTGTCCCAAGCCAGCCTGGAGAAATTCCGTCCTCCCCAACCCCACCCCGCAACCACACACACACAAGCAGGTTTCTCCAAGGAAAGAGATTGCCCATCTGCCCCCTCTACACGCTACTCAGTAGCCAGGGAATTCGTCTCCTTGGGCAAAGGGTCAGTTCAGTTCTGCGGACACTGCCCAGGACAGGACGGAAGAAGTTCCTTCCCCCCGGTACTCACATTTGGTGGGGACAAACATGGTCCGGTCGGTGCCGTGTCATGTCATGCCAGGAGGCAGGACGGCGCTGGGGAGGGGCAGAGCCAGGAGCCAGGAAGGCAGACAGCTAGAGGTGGGGAAGTCACGTATTTGTTCATGGGCTGACTCATTCACTCATTACCATTTTTCAAACAAATGACACATTCATTCAGCAGCAGCTGTGCATGCGTGGCACTGACCCTCAGCGACTTGTCACTGGCGCCTGAAGCCAGGTGTCCCCCAGGGGACCCGGAGTGGGGTGGGGGTGGGGTCACTGATGTGGGTCTGATGATGAGCAGGCTCTTCCCTCAGTTTACCCCTCTGTAGTAGGCGGAGTCCATTCCTCCGCTTCCCCCATGCGTCACCCAGCTCTGGGAAGAGGTATGTACTGCTGTCTGCCTGGCCCCATCTCTTCCCCACGTCAGGAACAGGCACCTGAAGAAACACCCCTAGCTCCAGATACTCTTGCTCCCACAGCCCCAAGAAAGCTGGGGTCCCGTGTCACCGTCCCACCCCCTCCCCAGGATGTGACAATGAATCACTTGCTCGTTGTCTTAGTCCCTGGCTAGATTGTTGGTCTTCAGTGCCTAGAAATGTCACTCAAGGGTTGAAGGAGGATTGGAGTCCCTGGGGGAAAGGGCTTCGCTGTATCAGGCTTCTTAGCCTCAGTGCTGCTGGTATTTGGGGCTGGGTAGTGCTTTCCTGTGGGAGCTGTCCTGGGTATCGCAGTGTTTAGCAGTATCCCCGGACTCTACCCACTCGATGCCCGTGGTGGTCACTAGTGTTTAGCACAGCGGTTATGATGCCTTTGATGTCCGCATCCCGTATCAGAATGCATGCCATGGAGTCCCGCCCCAGCTCTGATCCAGCTTCCTGCTAATGCACACACTGGGAGGCAGCAGGTGACGGCTCGGGCACTTGGATCCCTGTCATCCACGTGGGAGACCCAGATGGAGTTTGGGGCTCCTGGCTTCAAACTGGCCTAGTCCTGGCTGTTGCTGGAATTTGGGGAATAAACCAGCAGATGGGAGATCTCTCTATATATACACCTTTTAAATAAATAAATAAGTTTTAAAAGATTTGCTGAATGAGCAGAGAATATCTAAGAGAATCCAGGCAGTCAGAGCTAAAAGGGAGCTAAGATTTACTTAAGTGACACTTTTTCCAGCTCTCAAACTTGGGGGATTCATACACCGAAAGATCCCAAAGCTGGCCGGTGCCGTGGCGTTGCAGGTTAAGCCGCCACCTAAAGCACTGGCACCTCATAAGGGCACCGGTTCAAGTCCCAGCTGCTCCACTTCTGATCCAGCTCCTTGCTAACGCACCTGGGAAAGCAGCAGAAGATGGCCCAAGTCCTTGGGCCCCTGCACCCATGTGGGAGACCTGCAAGAAGCTGCTGGCTCCTGGATTCAGCCTGGCCCAACCCTGGCTATTCCAGCCATTTGGGAAGTGAACCAGAGGATGGAAAATCTCTCTCTGTGTCTCTCCCTCTCTGTAACTCTGCCTTTCAAATAAATATTCAAAAAAAAAAATCTCAAGGCTTATAGGAAAGATGAGAAGCAGACTTCATGTGTGCTGACGTGGAGTAGGCCCAAGGCCACCTGTGTTGTTAGGTGAGACGAGGAAGGCACAGAACACAATGTGTTTCTACAAGGCCACAGATTGGGTCAAGTCCTTGAGAAAGGGGGTCTGCTTTGGCTCATGGCTCTAGTCCAAGGCGGAGGTGCTGTGTCCGGTGGTGGCATCCTTGCTGGCAGAGGCGGGCAGAGTAGGTCACGTGGGACCGAGCGAGCTTCCTCTCTTGGGTCTCTCTTCCCTTTCACGGCCACTAGTGGCATCATGGCAGGGCACCGCCATGACTTCATGCAATCCCTATTAGTTCCCAGAGGCCGCACATCCAAACACCACTGACACCTGACTGTGGGGGATGAGCTTCCGGTGGAATTCAGGGGCCACAAATATACAATACTGTTGGAAGAGAGCACGAGTACTGGGATTGCTTCTGGGGATGGGGTGCGGAGTAGCTGGGGAACAGGTGCAGGGGAGAGAAGAGAGACTTCCACGTCTCCTTTGTCTGTAAAATTCAATCTGTGTGTGCTTTCACATTTCAAAACTGAGTTTCAAATTAAAAAATGTTTATTGTTAACATAAACAGACTCAGAAAATGCGATACGGTATGAAATCCATCCTCTTCCCATCATCGTGGGCTCAGTCGTTTCTAGGAACTGCTGGGGACTTTTGAACAAACATCCTAGGCTGCCACTCAAGTCGGGGGGCCTCCAGCTTGACTTCCAGTGAGGACAGAAGGAAACCAAACTTGGAGTGGAGGCCTGGATGTGAACTTGCAGCTGACCTTGAAGCCACAGCCCTCCTCTGAGCCTCAGTATTCTAATCTGCCAAGTGGGTTTGTGGTAGGGGAGGAAATGCACATCTCCAGACACTGTGATGATGATGGTGGATGCTTCCCCCGGGGAGTTCACAGCACCTCTTCCCCCAGGTCTGGGATGAGCGGCTGGCCAGATCCGCGGAGGCCTGGGCCTCCCAGTGCATCTGGGCCCACGGGCCCTCACAGCTGATGAAGTACGTGGGCCAGAACCTCTCCATCCATTCCGGCCGGTGAGTGGCCCTCTGCCTGCTTTCATTCAGTCATTCAGCAAACATGCAAGGAATGCTTACTCCACACCAGGTGCTGCGCTTGGCAGTGGGTGCAAGGGAGACAAGTTCCCTGCACAAGCACGAGCCCACATTCCACGTAGAGACAGGATGCGCAGGCTGTGAGGAGTGACCGGGACACTCCCGAGGCAGGGACCAGGGTCGGGGCAGCAGGGCTGGGGCTAGGGAGAGGGGGTGGGCACGTCTGGCTCCAGCAAACCTCTCTCTGGTCTGACCTCTTCCTGCCATTCCCACTTCCAAGGCAGAACCCGGGGACCGGGCAAGGTATTTCCACTTTTGCACCGCAGTGACCTTGTCTGGGAAAGAAAGGCGTCCTTCTCTTGGGCCGGGAAGTGTGGATTCCTTAGGCCGGGGAAATGTCAAGAAGACATGGGTGAGACTGCCACCCTGTTGTCACGTCTTTGCTTCGCCGAATGAGGACGTTAGGAAAACAGCGACCTGCCCTGCCCTGCCCCCACCCGCCGTAACCCCAGGGGAGTGGGAAGACAGAAGCAAAGCTGCTTCTTTCAGCTGAGCTTGGTGGACGCTCGGGCCGTTTGCCTTTTTCTTCGCCAACAACTGGTCAGGGCATCGGGGAGCCTTCCAGGGCAGACCTTGGGCTGGGCCCCCCCCCCCCAGGCCCCATCACTGCCCCTCCCTGCCGGCCCCGGGCCCTGAGCTGACACTTGAGAGGCTCACGGTGCAGAGAGTAACGGGATGCAGAGGCACCACTGGGAGTTTCCGGCGTCAGTTCTCCCAGACTGTCTCCCTTATTGGCCCTCGTGTAGGTCTGTGCCTCTGACAATTGTGTCTGATGGAAGAAGCCCCTGGGTCCCAGCCTGGGCGCTTCCGGCTGTAAGGAGGTTCTCAGGTCCACAGCCAAGGGCCTGCCTCCACCCCGTCTCACACATCAGAGGCCTCGGAGGTGGTCCCCTGAGCCCTCTTCCCTGGAGACCAGCCGCCCCGTCTCAGATGCCCGTCTCCGGCCTGGCCCTTTGCATGCTGACGACGAGTGCATGCGCTTACTGCGTGCCAGGTGTGTGCGTGCACTGAACCCACTCTCCCAGGTGACCGGCAGCACTTACCTGCAAGGAGGGCGCTACTGTCCTCATTCTCAGTGAGGAAGGGGCAGAGGTGCTCACCCCAGGTCACCCAGCAGGTTGGTGGCCAAGCAGCTTGGCCGTTCTCTGCCCACTTCTCTGGCATTCTCGGCCTCCGCAGGTTCCGCTCGGTGTTGGATCTGGTAAAGGCGTGGTCGGAGGAGAAGCGGCATTACTTGTTCCCCGCCCCGAGGGACTGCAACCCGCACTGCCCCTGGCGCTGCAGCGGCCCCGTGTGCTCCCACTACACCCAGGTACGCTCCGTGTCCACCAGGGCGGGGCAGAAATCAGCCCGGAAACCCCACCCCGGCTCCCTGGCCTGGCCCAGGCACCTGCTCCTGCAACGCTGGGTGGGCATAGATTGCAGGTGGATCTCGCTCTGTTTGGAATGTCTTGCCTGCTTTCTGTTGTCTAAGGCTCCCATTATCAAAATAAGCTGACAACAGCTGTAGCGGATGCCGAGTGCTAACACGGAATATGGGGACACTTAGGACACGGAAAACCCGATGCAGGACAAGTGGGACACTAATCAGAACAGCTGGAATCCAGGATGCTCCGGAGTCCAGCATCTTCAGAGCTTTGGAAGGGTGCCCCCAGGGGAAAGTCCCAGTCCTGACCTCCGGTGCCGGGTTACACTGCAAATGCAGGCGTGAGCAGTCGTTCCCAGACCTCTGAAGGCTTGGCGTGCCTGTTCTTTCCTGAGAGCCTATCTTCCGGCTTGGAAGATGGACTTCTCTTGGGAAATCAACACACATTCTCAGGCCACAATGAGGGGGCAGCATTTATATGCAGGCCGTGAGCCTACAAGGGAAAGTTCACCAACGCCTGTATCCTGATGAGAAAGAATGTCTTTGTCCATTTTAGCTAACACGATTCTGGTATAGCAACACAAAAATGGAGGAAATGTAGCAAATAAAACCTGGAGAACAAGGAGGCTGGTGTTGTGGTGTAGTGAGTTAAGCCGCTGCCTGCGACACCAGCAGCCAAATGAGTCCTGACTGCTGCACTTCTGATCCTGTTCCCTGCTGTGGCCTGGGAAAGCAACAGAAGCTGGCCCAAGAACTTGGGCTCTGCACCCACGTGGGAGATCCAGATGAAACTCCCAGCCCCTACCATTCTGCCATTGAAGACCATTTGGAAAGATTGATTTCTCTCTCTTCCTCTCTCTCTCCCTCTGTAACTCTGCCTTTCAAATTAATCTTAAAAAAAATCTACCAGGGGATTCCAATTCAATCCCATCAAGGTGGCATGTACCAATGCCATCTCACTATTCCAAGTGATCAATTTCAGTTCACAATTGATCATAATGAAAGGACTAAGAGTCAAAGGGAGCACATAAACAAGTCTAGTACCTGCTAACACTAACCAATGGAATAAATAAAGGGGAGAGTGATCCAACATGGGAAGTGAGATACTCAGCAGACTCATAGAATGGCAGATGTCCTAAATAGCACTCTGGCCTCAGAATCAGCCCTAAAGGCATTCGGATCTGGCTGAAAAGCCCATGAGAGTATTTCAGGCATGGAAAGCCAAGACACTCTGGCAAAAGATCTCTGCGAGTGAGATCCTAGTGGAAAGAACAGGTCTTCAAAGAAGGAGGTACCTTTCTCTGAAGGGAGGAGAGAACCTCCACTTTGACTATGACCTTGTCTAAACAAGATAAGAATCGGAGAACTCAGAGGGCTTCCATAGCCTTGGAAACTCATGACTGGTGCATAGGGAGACTACTGATGCCATAGACAGGAGTGTCAATTGGTAAAGTCAACAACAGGAGTCACTGTGCACTTACTCCTCATGTAGGATCTCTGTCCTTAATGTGCTGTGTATTGAGATTTAATGCTATAACGAGTACTCAAACAATATATTTCACTTTGTGTTTCTATGGGGGTGCAAACTGTTGAAATCTTTACTTAATGTATACTAAACTGATCCTCTGTAAAAAAAAAAAAAAAAAAAGAAAAGAAAGAAAAAAAAAGAAATTATCAACTCCCAACTTGACTCTCACTGGGATTAAACATGACAATAGGTCTAATCTGATTTCATCATCATTTAAAAAAAATCATCTATTATTTTTCACTTTATGTTTCTGTGTGGGAGCAAACTGTTGAAATCCTTACTTAATGTATACTAAGCTGATCTTCTGTATATTAAGATAATCGAAAATGAATCTTGATGTGAATGGAAGGGGAGAGGGAGTGGGAAAGGGGAGAGTAGTGGGTGGGAGGGACGGTATGTGGGGGAAGCCATTGTAATGCATAAATCGTACTTTGGAAATTTATATTCATTAAATAAAAGTTAAAAAAAAATCTAGAGAACTAGAAACCGTAAAAGAACAAATAAATGAAATTATATGTGAAAAGCAACACAGGTGCATTAAAACCACCGTATATAGGGGTGGGCTTTGTGGCCCCACTGGATCCTCCCTGTCTCTGCCTCCCCTCAACAGATGGTGTGGGCATCTTCCAACCGCCTGGGCTGCGCCATCCACACCTGCAGGAGCATCAGCGTCTGGGGCAGCACCTGGCACAGGGCTGTGTACCTGGTCTGCAACTACGCCATTAGGTAAGGGCCTGCACTGAAGCCAAGCGGCTCTGGGACGGGAGGGTGGGTCCCGAGAACTCAGACGCGACACCCCGCCTTCCTCCATCATCAGCACTCTCCGTACTGTTCAGCTTGGGGGACTTTAGAACCGATCAACCATCCTTTTCCTTACGCACATTCCAGAACCAAGTGGGAGACAGAGAGGAGCAAGGCGGGGGAGGGGCAGCTCATTGAGAAAGCCAGCAGCAGAGGATGTGGCTAGGTGGGACCCTCTCCCAGCCAAGAGGGCTTGCAAATGGTCCGGTGCAATTTTTAAAAGTTATTTTAAAGTGCTTTTAAAATGTATTTACTTATTTTTTTGTCATTCTATTTGAAAGGCAGAGAGAGAGATGGAAATAGAGAGCTAGGGCTAGACTTGTGTGTGTGTGTGGGGGGGGGGATCTTCTGTCCCCTGTCACTCCCCTGACTGGCAGCAACAGCCAGGGCTGGATCAGGCCAAAGCTGGGAACCTGGGGAACTCAATCCAGGTCTCCCAAATGGGTGCCAAGGATGCAAGTGCTTGATCCATCGTCAGCTGCCTTCCCGGGTTGCACACCAGCAGGAAACCGGAATTGGAAGCAGAGGTGCGTTTCAAACCCCGGCAGTGTGATCTGGGATGCAGGTGTCTCAAGCGCATCCTAACCACCGTGCTGGACGCTCAGCCCCCCTCCAGTAGCTCACTGTTGAGTCAGACCCTGCACACCCGCGGCAGGCCACGCTGCACAGCCACAGGTTCTTCTGACAGGAGCAGGGCCGGCCCCTCCACACTTACTCCCAGAAATATTCAACCAGGACTGCGAGCTGCCCACGGGCAGGTAGATCCCCTAGGCAGGGGGGCAGGGTAGAGACAGCCTGCGCAGCAGCTTCCCCCAGACTGCAGCATGCTGAGAGACAGGCCGGGCGCTGGCTTCAGACACAAGTCTCTTGGAACTATGGGGAAAGGCGGATGAACATTCTCCCAACATGCAGTGTGCAAGCTCACACGAAGACAAGAACAGGTTCTAAGGCGAGACTGCCGGGGTTCAGATTTGTGATTTTACTCCACTTCTTCATGCCTGGGTCTTCATCTGCAAAAGGACCATAAAATACAAGCTCCCAAATAGCACTTGTTCAAGGGACTGTTGAGAGAATTCTGGGCAACCGCCCAGGTAACACCCCAGCCCCTCCGAGGGGGAGAAAACATGCGGCCATCGCTCCTGCCAGAGCTAGGCTGAGCCCAGCTCCTCCACACACCTGCTGAAGACCTGGAGTGGGTCCCTGTGCCTTGGCAGGCTCATTTCCCCTTTATGGTAGCAAACACTACCTGACTCACAGGGCTTGCGTGGTGCCTTGTCTGCGGTATGTGCTACTTAAATAGTGACCGTGGACTCAAACGAGGTTATGTGTGCAGGAGGGTGGGAAATTGACCCTATGCGATTTTATATCCCTCAAATTCTTCAACTTCAGTTCCTTGTTTCTTTAAGTGGAACTTTTTCCAAGTGGCTACATGCAACAAAAAAGAATGACTTTCATTCTAACGTGCCAGGCGTCACCACCTATTCTTCCTGCCCCTAAACTCCCGAGAGCATCTTTAGAAACCTGGGGACTGTGGCATCTGGCACACATCCTGATGTCCCATGGATGCTCTGAAAGTGTTTGTTGAATGAATAAGGGAGCACTGTTGGGAAATCAGAAGGGCATGCTTTGCACTTTGGTGGACTTTATGCGGTCGTTCAACAATCACTTTTGGAGAGAAGAAGATTCTACGTCTGTCCACAAGGAGGGTTCATGTAAGGTGTGAGAAAAAAAGGCACTGGGTCTTACAAAAATTGTTAACATGGCAAGTCAGCAGTGAGATTACCAGGCAGCCATGAGCAAGAGCTGGGGGTGGGGCGGATTTAAGACTTTAAGGGGAGAAGGCAGGAGAAAACGAGAAAAAGCCATGAGCTGGGGTGGAAGAGGGTGCTGGGAGATGAGATGTGCAAGTGGAGCCAGGCGCTGCCAGGGCAGTCTGGAACTCCTGGCCCGCGGCTGGTGATGTGATCTAGAAGCCAGGGGTCCGCAAACCAGGGGCCATGGCCAAAGCTGGCCCACGGCCTGTCTTTACAAATAAAGTTTTATTGAGACGGAGGCAGGACATTCCTTTACACATTATCTGCAGCTGCCTTCACATGGCAGAGATCGTCTGGCCTGCAAGGTATAAAACACAAGGGTTCTTCAAAAAGCTCACAGCAAATGGGCTTGTAAGTTTATTTTGTGAAAAAAAAAAATGGAAACCCATGCATAGTTTTCTCATTATATGCATTTCCAGACTTTTTTTGAAGACCAGTTGTAGGCACAGATTCCAAGCAAATTTTGTACCAAAATGAACTTATCCTTTAATGCTGTTTTCCTTGAGCTTTTTGAAGTCTCTTTGTATTTACACCTGCTTCTTTACAGAACAAGCTTGCCGGTCTCTGCCTGCGTGGAAAAGGGCAGTCCCCAAAAGCTCGATGGGACAGCGATCGCACGGAAGCAGGGCCTGCCTGTAGAAAAACAGACAGCTGTTAAGACAGAATTCATTTGCCATACAACCCACCGCTGAGTTTTAGAACATATAACTATATATAGAATATGTAACTATATATAGAATATGTAACTATATATAGAATATGTAACTATATATAGTTATATTTTTTTTCTTATTTGAAGGAGAGAAACCGAGAGATCCCTCATCTACCAGTCCACTCCCCAAATGTCCTCAAGAGCTGGGACTGGGCCAGGCAGAAGCCAGGAGCCTGGGACTCAATCCAGGTCTCCCATGCGGGTAGCAGGGACCCAAGCATACGGACTATCACCTGCTGCCTCCCAGGGGGCACCTTAGCAGGCAACTGGAGTCAGGTCATTTTCTCCAGAGGACTAAAATCACATCCCAGAAATGAGGAGGCTGATCCTGTCACCGGCTGGAGGTGGCAGACTCAGGGGGTGGGGAGAGAAGTAACCTGTTGGCCTGGCACGGTGCGGGGTGCACCCACGCGGGGCCGCCTTTGGCCTTGGCCGCCTCCCTGTGAGGACAGTGAAGAGTACAGGGCCTGGGGCCCAAAGTCATGCAGCCAGTGGGTACCGTGCTGAGACCTGGACGTCTGGGTGAAAAGTCACTGACTTCACTCTCCTGACCTCCGACCGCGGCTCCCTGGGCCTCTGTTCTCTCCCCAGGGGCAACTGGCTGGGCGAGGCACCGTACAAGATGGGGAGGCCATGTTCCGCCTGCCCCCCCAGTTACCAAGGCAGCTGCAGTAGCAACATGTGCTTCTCCGGGCTCAAGTCCAACAGGCTCCAGTGGATCTGAAGTCGCCCTGGGCCCCGGGGCACCTCCAGCTGGGCCCGACCCTGCAGGGGTCCCACCCACCTACCCAGGACAGAAGCTGGCCACAGGGCACTCACCGCCTCTTGCCTCCCAGGTTCTCTCCCGAACATCCGGCTGGATGAGAAGAGAAGCCCTTGCCTGCTTCCCTTCTTTCTCCCCTCCGGCCTCTGCATCTTTCATCAAGTCCTTCTCAGAGAGCGAGCCGGGGCTGCGGGGAGCGGGCCTGCACTCTTAGGCTTCAAACTCAACAGACTTTGCCCATCCAATAAAAAGCATCTGTTATTATATCACCTTTAGCCTGGATCCCACCTTCATTTATCCCTCACAACCAGCCAATCAGGACACGCAGTTCCCTCTTTGGTTGGGCATATTCCGGGTCCAAGGTTTTTAAAAGCATGGGCACCCCACCCCCACCCTCACTGCAGGTTACTGGAGCTACTACAAGGTGCAGGCCCTTTTTACAGATGGGTACACTGAGGCTCAGCCAAGGGCGAGGCTTCGAGCTGGAGCTCAGGCTCTGACATTGCTCGTACACTTCCTGAATGCACCGGCCTGAGCGGAACCCAGCAGCAAATCCCAAAGCTGGCGGGAGGGAACTCCCCCTCCAGGCCCGCCTTGTGTGCCCTGTCCGCCTTTTGCCCCTCTCTGCCTTGCCGCCTCTCTCTCTTCCTCCCCCTGTTTTCCAGTCCGGGGCTCCGTGTTTCAGATTCTCTTTTTCTCCACTGTAATCTCATTCTCATTCCAATAAACTGTTTCCCCTCTCCCCACCCCATCCACCCAGAGATCATAACACACAAAAGTCCTTTTGTCTCTGGAGATAGTAAAATCTCCTCCCTCAGACCTTGCCCTGCAGCGGGGCGCACCCCGCCTGGCTGGAGCTGGGACGTCCAGGGTCCCAGAGTGAGCTTCTCCCCTCTTGGTCACACAGGACACCCCTCTCCCTCCTGGGGGCCCCTTGTGAAGTGCAGTGGCTCTCTCTGGTCCTCTCTCCTTCGGCTCCAGGGGAGTTAAAAGAGCAGGGGAGGGAATGGGGCGTGGGACAGCGACCAGACAAGCCTGCTGGGCCAAGTGCAGGACTCCACTTTATGGAAGAGGAAAACCGAGGCTGAGGGTGAGGACCAATTTTCACAGGCTGCAAAGAAATGAAACAGAAGAACCCGGGATTCGGAGTATTGTTCTCAGATTATCTCTCTCCGACTTTCTTTCATTGGAGGATGAGGGTAGTGCGTATTAAAAAGCCCTTTCTTATGTAAAACAAAAGTCTTGTAGAAACTTCAATGGTAATGACTCCTTGGGCCATGGTGGCTTGGGGAAGTCGCATGGCCGGGAAAGAGCAGACGCAGGATTTGAATTCCGCGTTCTCTGGCGCCCAAGCCTGTGCGGTTCCGACTGCCCCCACATCGTCCTCCTGCGTCCTGACTAGCCAGACAACGAAAAGGACAATCAGCTCAGGACGTCAGCACCTCCTCTTAATCTCACGGTATTAGTATGGCTATCTTGGGTGATAGGTGCTGCTCTTATCCCCATTCTACCATGTAAACCGAAGCTGGATTTGAACCCGCTCTGTGTGATGCAAACTCTCAGTGGTTGACCCTCTCACTCTCCTGCCTCTCGTCCAGGAAGGGAGTGATTTAGGGATTTGATGAAAACAGAGACGGTTCCGCAGTTTGTTGCATGGGATGTCCGGAAGATCCCGGGTTCGTAATTTCTGACATTGCCTTTGAGGAGAGCCCACGGTGAGGGAGCAGTGGGCCAGCGGGGCTGGTCCATGCCAGCGGGGCCCACACACTGCAGATGAGGGGTGGGTGCGAGGGTCGGCACAGGCTCCTGGCTTGTTAAAGGGAGTCTGTCGCTCTCTGCATCACAACAGTGTTTGAAGCCCCTGTAAGGCTTTAGACTTCTGAAGACTTCCAGTCGCATTTGATCACTCATTCATTCAACAACCAGGAGGGCTGTCTCTGGGGCCTGGCATTGGGGGCACAAACTTCATGAAGGGGCTGCCCGTGCGTGGCTGAGTCACCGCAGCTCTCAGTGCCCCGGTCTCACCACAGATGGGAACGCCAACAGTGTCCGCCTGGTGAGGTGGTTCCAACTGTTAAATGAATGAGTACACACACAGAAAGCACTTAGGGCAGGACCGGGCACAGGACGGGGGTCATTAACATAACTCAGGGCACAGGCTAAGACACATGAGCAAATCTGGCCCATTGCTTGTTTTTGTAAATAAAGTTTTATTGAAACACAGCCTTGCTTTTTGGTTGACCTAGTGCCTATGGCTGCTTTCTGGTTTCAGGGGCAGAGATGACAGAACACAGAGCTCACAAAGCTTAAAGTATTTACTCTGGCCCTTTACAGAAAACGTACGTGCATCCCTGAGCTGCGCGATGCTCCTGTATCTTTGCAGCTTATAATTCAAGTGGAGCAGCCAGGTACCAAACAGGAGCGGAACAGAAATACCGCATCATCACTGAATTAAGTATCACCTGGGAGGAGCACGCGTCTCACGGGAGCCCTTGAATCGGCATCAGGTGTCTTCCTGCAGAGGGGTTTCTTTGCAGACTTTCCTTTCTGAACAGTTGTAGGTGCAGAGCAAAGCTGAGTGGAAGGCACACTCAGATCGAGAGATGGCCCACACGCCTCCGCGGCCACCTTCACACAGCCTCAGCGGATGAGAAACTGGCCAGGCTCTGAGAAGGCACTGGCAGTGTGGGTGGAAAGCCGGGTCAGGGAGCTCCCGGCAGTCAGTACCAGGAATGGGGAGAGGGAGAGAGATGGCCCTGTGGCAGGTGACAGGGGCCAATTTTGGATGATAACCGGAGGCGAGGGGGAGGCACATCCAGGTTCTAACCCTGGATAACTTGATCAGATTTTCACTGGGAAAGAAAATTTTGACTGCATTAATGGAGAACAGATTGGGTGAGGGCTGAAGGCTATTTCAGTGGTCCAGGTGAGATGGCCGTGGCTTGAAGGAAGGTGGTGGCTCTGGAGACGAGGTGGATACACTTTTATGTGTAGGAGGAAACAGGGGTGTAGACCCAGGTGGGTCAGGAAAGAAGGTGAGAATCATGCAGACAGGTGAGTTGGTGGTGGGGTGAGGGAGACCTGGTTTAAGGTCTCTGCTCCCGCTGTGAGGAAGGTGCAGTCTCATCTGGCTGAGAATGAGAGGGGAGAAGGTTCGAGAAGGGGCCTGGAATGGGGGTAGGGAATAAGGAGAGCAAGCAGGAGCGCGGAGTTGGTGGCCCCGGTCCGTGATGGTCCCATCTGTCCTGAGGTTGGTGATTTCCTTTGTCTCTCCAGCCGCGATTGGCTGCCCAGGTGTAGACATGAGGAAGGAAGAATACTTAGGGTCACGTAGGCTTGGGGCTTTGTCAGGAGGGAGCTGAGGGAGAAGTAGGAGAGGGATGAGGTTTATGGGCTGCAGGCTTTACACTGAGCGGGAAGGAGGAGGCAGAGAGGGGGAAGAGAGGGGCCGAGAGCAGTGGAAACCGGAGCCATCCGCGGGAGTAGAGCCCCCGGCCCCCAGCACTGCTTGAGCAGGGAAGCGGGAGAGAGTTGGTGGGCGGAGGGCCGATGCCGACTCACTCTTCTCCAGGTGGAGCCTCCCATAAGGTAGGTCTTGCTCTGAGTGAATGAAAATTTACGGAACCCACAAGCCGGAAGCTGATGGAGCCAGGGTTTCATGGGTCCAAGTGCTTCACTGCCTCTCACCTGTGCTCCCTCCAACATGATGAAGCACCCCAAAAGATTTCAGAACCCCAAATGCAGGTTGTGAGCTCCAACACCGGGACAAAAGAAATGCGGCCGTTCTGGCACGTGCCAGGTGACAGGTGTGCAAGATGCGGGCGCGGGAAGCCCCAGGTGGCCCTGCTTCTGAACACCAGGATGCAGATTTCAAGGGCGGTCCCACTCAGGAGGGGGAGGGGAGTCCCACCCATGCTCCTGCAGCCCTCCGAGCACCGGGCAGTTCCTACATGGCCTCCAAAGGAGTACCTGATGCGGATACGGCTCCTTGATTAGTCCCCAAGTCCCCGGAGGCAGGCGTGACGTCTACTTTGTTTATTTCTCTATCATGAAGTCTAGCACGGAGCCTGGCCCATGGTAGGTGTTCAAAACACGTAAATGAAAGAGGGGAGGGGGTTGTAGCTCCCAATCCCCTTCGTCTCCACCGTGAGGCTGCGGGCGAGGTACTTCGTTGTGTGCCTCCATTCCCTCATCTCAGGTTTAATCCAAACATGGCAATGCCTGCATGCAAGTCCGGCATCCAGCAGGCGCTCCATAAACTCGGCGCTCCACCCTCCTCTGCTCCTCCACCCTCCCTCAGCGTCCCCGCTTCCTGCATCAGGCCACACCCAATGGTTTGTAGCCATAAAACCCAACCCAGCTTGGACTCTCACCTTCAAGCCCCTCCTGCTACGTTCCTTCCCTGGAGTTGGGGGGCTGCTGTCCCCTACATCTGGCTCCAGTTGCCCCCTAAACTCTGAGTGCAGGACTGGGGCCCGAGTGGACCTCGGGCCTGGCCAGGGTGCTGTTGTCATGGTGACAGCGACAGTCCCCAGCCGCAGGTTCCCTAAGTGACTGGTTATTCTTTAACATATCCACCCACCTTGGGTGATTAGAAGAATCAATAAGATAACCAGGCGGTGGCAGCTGGCCGGCTCGCTGCCTCGCTGCCTTCCTGGTGCACTGGCTCTGGGTAGCCCTGTTGCTGCTGTGTGTGGGCCTCGGCTCCTCCATGCTCACTGGTCTCCAGCTTGGCCATGGTCAGTGTGAACGCACCCCTCGGGGCCCCAGTGGAGAGTCGCTATGGTGAGTGGGCCAGCAGCCACGGCTGGGGGACTGGACACGGTGGGACCCCGGTCAGGCTTGGGGCGGGGGACGTGTAGAAGACCTCTGGCTGTGGTTCTGATGGGCTCAAGCGCCTCCCTGGCTCCTCTGGAGAGTCAAGAGGCCTGAGGGTGGCCTGGGACTTAACCCCACTCTCTCCACAGCGGCGCAGCTGCTGCCTGGAGTACTGGGAGAGGCCGCCGGAGTCCCGAGGCAGGGGCTTGGCCCCTTCTGCTGCCTGGAGGCTTTCCTGGGAATGTGTCCCAGGAAGTCTTTCCAAGATTCCTTGCAGGGTGGGGGTCCAGATGCGGCTACGGGCCTTGCTGCGGGGCAGAGAACCTGGTTGGGCCTAGGTCATCTGGCCAGGGCATGGTGGAGCTGCAAATGGGACCCAAGTAGGGGAGTCCCAAGGGACCTCCCCAAGGGAGGTCATCTGTGCCCCTCCA